ATACAAGAGCCAGGGTCTGCCTTCTTCCACCGTGTTTGCTCGAGCGTGGGCCGAGAATAATAGCTGAAAAGCGGGCTGAGAATCTCAATTTTTACGGCGGCTATAGCCGCTTCCTGGCGTGAAGGGGTTAAAAAGAATACAAACAAAAGCTCACCCTTTCCCAGTCAATGGTTTTGAAGAATGGATGTGATGTTACATCAGAAAATCCTGTCTGTGGGTGACAGGCTAGACGTTCTATAGGGTTCTGTTGGGGGAAAACGATCATTCATAACATACATCAGACAGTCTCCCTACTCAACAATTTGCAACTTGACTGTGTATTAACATTTGATAATGCCCGCTGAGAAGTGATAATGCCCACTGCGTAAATCTCATGCTGGCACCTGGGTACAAGACAGTTTAATTGATTCTGACTGCCACGTCCATGCCAAGTTCATAGTTCATGCCATGGAGATTCGTTTGGACAACTATAAAAAAAATGGACACAGGTGTGTGGGAAAATGAAAGTAAAATTCTACAACAAAATCGTTGAAAATCTGTCATATATTGACTTCTTTTGGCTCTCTGACTTAAAAAGGTATTTATGAATGGGACAAACATGTGCTTGGCCAGTCTTAAACTAACATTTAAAACCAGATCAGGCGACTGAACACTGATAATGCCCTCGCCCGCAGCTCAGGCATTCGTCGCATCCATTCTCCTTGGCTGGTCTTATATGCACATTTAAGACCAGCAATGTACATATTTATTTCTTTACTAAAAGAAACAAAGATACAGTGCAAAGTGAAGTATAAAGAACTGTTTCGTAGAACATTTTGGAAGAGTAAGGTTTAGGTCACAAACTGCTGTGTATCCAGTGTCCTTCCATGAGTCTACAAACAGAAAATTCAAATCCAAACTCAGCTAAGGAGTGACTTGAACCCTTGGTTGCAGAAGTCACTGTTTGTACTTGTAATGAATGACAGTCCACGTCTTACCTTGTTGAGGAAGCCTTTCAGCACTGATGCAGCCTTGACAGACAGGGCACGAGGTATTCTGATTGGCTTCTCTAAGATCACTGCAGTAGGAATACATTGCCACATTAAAACTACTGTCCAGAGAAAAATCAGGAAAATCCCTTCTCTCATTTGGTAAAATCTCACTTTTCATCAGTTGATTAGATTTTGTACCAAAGGCAGCACTATTTGTGTACATACATGTATAAGGAATGAGTTGTATGGTATTGCAAGGTCAAGATGGGCTAAAGAAGCAAATAAGCTTGCTCATTTGCCCGTGCAAATACGTAAGATTGATGAACAGATCTTGCACAACAGTAACCTGAAGTTTTTCCACATGCATGCTAAGTCTTTTTTTCATAAACTATATGCTTTTTTATAAACTATCCAATAGTATTACATATATTAAGTATTGGTATTCTTTGTGCAAGGTAACTTTCCCACGATACTGTCTACTATGTTATCAACAACTCCCTTTGATACAGACCACAGTGACACCCATGTCTTATCCTCAACCCTTCCGTGCCAAACAATGTCTTCTTAAATGCCAATGTCCCGACCCCCCAGGGAAATTCAAACTAAAACTACACATTTATGTTTCTGCTTGCACAGAGCATACATGTAGGGCATTTCTGCATTAATACACCTTCAACAGAGAACAATTCTGGACGCTGCTAGACATATACACCTAAGCTAGAACATTGTGTACAAATTACTGTTACAAATCTAAGAAGCAACTCCTCTAGGACTGTATTTAACTCTCTGTGAACGATATGAACACACAGCTCTTCTCTCTATAGAAGCAGGTTAATTTGATGAACAATTTGGTTGCTATAGTTCAGGAAAAGGGCGTACAACTTCGTCTGGAGTGAGCTGAATAAGCAATGAACTCCCGTTAACGTGACTCCTGTAATTGGGCCGGAGAATGTCCAGAGCTAGACTTTACGTCAGAATGCATTAGCTTTGGTGGGAAATGATCCTTCAGGGCTTGTGTTGATTTCCTTTTCAATGTAGTTGCTTGGCCTTATCAGTAAATTCAGCCCTCTGTTGTGTGGTTTGAGTAGTGCTGCTACCCTGATTTTGATGCAACTTCATCAGTTGGTGACACTTGTTTCAGTGTTCTGTTGCTACTTGTACTGGATTGGGCATGGCAGACACTGCTGCTACATGAAGCCTGTACTGTGTGTAGCACATACATGTACACAGTACACATACCGTATTTTTCAGAATAAACATGTAAGCCATGCGGGATATAGGTCGCAAGAGGCAAAAATTGGCAATTTAAGATTTAAAGTTGGCCTATAAGCCACACCAGCGTACAAGCCACACAGCAGCACTGACGATCCAACGGCGAAGGTCATTGAGCAGTGTTCTGAAGAGTTAGTACAGCATGTACAGTACGTCAATTATTCCACTACATGTGCCGTCCTAATTAATATAAGCACAGTGCGGACGAGTGTTACCATTAAAGATTAATTTTGAGTCATCAAAAACTAATTTTTGTGGACTGGATCATTGTCCTGTGTGGGCCATGCAGCAGCTCTTGCCCTTTTTTCAAGTGGCCATCAAAAGTTATGCAGACGGGGATACGTACTTAAGTCAAAAGACCATTTTATCTCATTGGTGGACTTTTTCTCGCTAAAGGAATACGATTTTATGTACAAAAATAACTCTGTAACTCATGGACAGTCCAATCACTGACTCCTTCCAATAACCATGTGACCACAGAAAGTGATGTCATCAGAAACCCAAGTGAAAAGAAGCCCAAAATTCTGTGGCACGTCACACTGAACACAATCGGCAAAAAAGACGAAATTTGCTAAACAAAAGTACTAGGTACACGCACCACTTACGAAGTTGATTTTTATTTAGCAGTAGACTGAAACCTTCAGGTAACAACAAAAATTCTCAGTAAAATGATAATTTGTGTGCAAAAAATACACCATGAGAATGAATAAAAAGTGGGAAAATAATCACAAAAATGTTGCCATCATAGCAGAGCAAGTAAAGTTTGTTATGACTTCATGTATGTACACAGTTTATGTAAGTGTTTGACTCCACGACTCGGGAAATTCTATTTAATAACTCAAAATCTGGACATATTGAATTTTCATTTATTCTCTGGGGTTCGAGTTATGTCAACGAAAATATGACTGCACCACCAGCATGCAGTATGCGTAGCCCAGGCACGACTTTTGTGACCGATTTTATCCTTCAAAGTTTGCTATGTAAGCCACCAGGCATACAAGTGGCAGAGACATTTTCCAGTGTGAGAATCGAGGTATAAGTCACAGCTTATATTCTGAAAATTACGTACACAAACGTGCACTTAAATACATGTACACTGTATGGTACAGAAGCTTCTGAACAGTGTGCAGCTTGACAAGAACATAATACTGGCAAAGATCCCAGCGGTGGCAATGTTTGGGTAATGATTATACCTGCTGTTTGGCTATAGGATTACAGAGATAAGGACTGGGTATGGTGTTGCAAAGTAAACAAGCAAAAGAATGCAGAATCCAGCCACTTTGCTCTAATTGGGGAAATACGTAATGCATTTTATGCACACAATTTTCAGTTTAAGAAAAGAGGAGACACATTTCTATGCCGAGTTTTATTAAAAAATACAGGTAAATAAAAATGGCGATTTGGGAAATTGCTAAGAATTCCAGGAGTCGGAAGATCAGCCAATATTCCGGGAGTCTTCAACAAAATCTGGGAGAGTTGGCAACTCTAAGTCCCTAGTTAGGAGACTGCTTTACCATCGTCTTCTTTTCAGAACCACACACACTCACAAAAGAGATATTTCGCATGGTGTTATCGCAAACCTATTGGTAGACTTTCCACCTTCACTCTGACAAACTTCAAATCGTAAGAAATTATATGCAAACTCTATAGACCTTGGGGAAAAAAATAAAATGTTAGATGAAAAAATCAAAACAAAAAGGCTTTTCTCCAGCTATGTGGAAACGCAATTAAAAAAAATCCTTGGAATTTCTGCTGTTGATACTTGCCTTGAAACAGGTAATCCTCTGTGTTTTGATCTGGGTGTTCTGCTGATCCAACAATATCAAATGGGGAACGCCCAGCCAACATCTCAAACATCAACACACCTAAGGCCCACCAATCAACACTATAGTCTGAAAGAAAATTTAAAAAAAAATCATGAAGTGAGTTCTGGTATAGCACAGCCTCTTTGCACAAACAATACCTCAATGCTTTCAGAGACAAAGGTTGGGCTGGCACTTAAACTCCAGTGGCACCATAGATAAGGTACTTGTGTGAAGATGAGTTTGTGAGGTTGGGATGACACTTATCCTCAGTGGTAGTAACCATAAGGCACCTTTGTGGACAATGCACATTTGCACCCCTTCAGATGACACTTGATCCTCAGTGGTAGTAACCATAAGGCACCTTTGTGGAC